TAGACATATAGATAGTTAATGAAGCTAGGCAATTATGTGATAACTCGATGGAGTATCATGCATGCTCAAGGAACCTAAACTAACATTGTTTCTTATAAAAAGTAGGTAATTGATTGATCTTGTATCCTTACAAAGCAATAGTTGAAACCATAGTCCTAGGATTTAATTACATTGTTTCCTCACTATACATTTAACTTGCAATCCTTAGGTTAAATTAGACTTTTAGAGTAAATTTTATATCAATTTTAACAACTTGTTCCTTTTATTGCTTGGATAATACTCAGCTTGTTATAATTTTAGTAATTAGTAATAAATAGTAAACCAACTCCTCGAGGGATCGACAAACTCTACTTATCACTATATTACTTGTTACGACCGTATGCAACACGTAGTCTTTACTTGTATTTTGTATTTAATTTTGAGCACAATCCATATCACACAATCAAAAGATTTATTTAAATCACAGCAGTTCGATTAAATGTGATACAAGAATAAAAACTTCTTTGAATTTTTTAAAATAGTTAAGAAACTTTTTAAAATTATCTCACGAGAATTTGAATTGATTTTGTTTTTGGAATTTAATTTTGCATATAAAATTTTAAAAAACTATCCATTCGTTTTATTTAATAACTTTTTCTTTCACCTATTTTTATTATTTGTTTTTACTTATTTTTTTTCTTCCATCCACAAAATGAGCATACCAAAATTGCTAAAATCAAGTATAAATATATAGACACGTAACAATGAAACACAAGGGGGCAAAAAGGCTGCAAAGACAAATGAGCAACCGTCCAAGGTTTAGTGCCCTTCCACGTGTACAGTCACACATGGGTTCAAGCTAAGCATGGCATCACCACCTCTTTAGAATCTAAATCCAGCATTTGTTGGGCATTATTACACTGTAATTGAAAAGGATGGTGACTTAGCATCCAAAAAAAAAGAAAAATTGGGTGTTTAAGAGTGAAGACTATTTTAATGACAACATAAAATTATGCATAGTAAGTTTTATAGTAATATGGGATAAATAAAGTTATCTAGGAATCTTTTTATTCTTTTAATCTCTATTTTTTTTGCATTCACAAACTCTTGAAAACAATGATACAAGAAATGCTAAAAAAAAATGGACAAATTATAATTATTTCAAGTTGCTGATCATGCTCCATATTAAATCATCACATCCCATTTGATACCATATAAGAAAAAGAAATCCAACTGACCTAACCTTAAATGTTCATTGTG